CTAAAAAAAAAAAAAAAAAAAAAAGAAAGCAGCAGCAAACAAATTCAAGTTTATTCGATCACATAGAAATTGAGACATAGCAGAGTTAATTTACCTATACATGACAAAAGGGACCTGAAATTTTTGCAAAGTGTGTTAACAGGTATCACAAGAAGCAGTCTAGGGTATTGGTTAAAACTGAAATGTGGAATCTGACTACTCAGGTTCAAGTCCCAGCCCCACCACCTACTAACTTCACTAACTTCATGAACATTCATTTAAACATTTTGTGTCTCAATTTTTTCATCTGTAAAATGGGGATAATAATAGTACCTACCTATGGTTGTTGTGAGAATTATATGAGGTAATACATATAATGTGCTCAGAACAGTTAAATGCCTGGTGTATGGTAAGCATTTAGTAACTGCCAGCTAGTACTAGTACTACTTTTGCATAATGAGATATGCTTTTATTCAATATGGAAAGCACATTTTGAGTTTTCTTTTTCTATTTTAAAAAACAATTACTGCTTCTTTCCATAATTTTTCTAAAATTAAATTCTGTTTCCTTTCAGAGTATACCCTCCTTTAGCTATTAAGCATTATTCACTAGCCATAATATACTGAACAAATATCAGTTCATTTATAGCATATTTTACCTTTTATTTTATTAATCTTCCAATTTATTGAAAAGAGTCTGGAATGTTATCAGTACTTATATAATTTTATGTGTATAGTTCCACCACTTTGTATTTTCAGGAATATTTCAAGTTATCTCCCATTTGTCAGTTTTAAGACAAAAAGAAAGAGAGAAACCAATATCAGGAAAAAAGTAGGAATAAAGAGAAAATACTTGATATCTGAATCGTGCACTTTTGTTGTGTGCTCAGTTATATTTCCAGGTTACATGGATGGAGAACTTGCAAAAAAATCAGATTCCAAAGACCAGATTCTAAAAAGTAGAGGCACTACAAAGTTTCAGAGTAGCCAAGAAAACAAGGGAGCACTAAAGAAGGAAATTTTATTCACAAATTCTGATAAAAGCTTGACATCAATGCACAAAAGAGAGTCAAAAAGGAAAGCAAAAGACATTGAGTTGGAGAAAGGTGAAATAGGAATGGAGGTCAAGGTAAAGGACAGTGATGCCACAATAATGAAAAGACAAGAATCCCAAGTAAAAGTGAGTGACATGAGAATGACAAAAGAACTGGAAGCCCAAGAAGAGAAAAGTGAGGCTGAAATACCACAAGGGCAGGAACCCCAAGCAGAGAAGAGTGAGACTGAAATACCACAAGGGCAGGAAGCCCAAGCAGAGAAGAGTGAGGCTGAAATACCACAAGGGCAGGAACCCCAAGCAGAGAAGAGTGAGGCTGAAATACCACAAGGGCAGGAAGCCCAAGTAGAGAAGAGTGAGGCTGAAATACCACAAGGGCAGGAAGCCCAAGTAGAGAAGAGTGAGACTGGAATACCAAAAGGACAGGGATCCAAAGTAAAGAAGAGTGAGACTAGAATACCAAAAGGACAGGGATCCAAAGTAAAGAAGAGTGAGACTGGAATACCAAAAGGACAGG